CCAGAAGACGTGAAATAAATCTAAATAAATCAGAGTTTTAGGATTCGTTGGAAACTGAAGACTGACCTGATAAACGTGATGTTTATAAGTGGATTTAAACTGTTGTTCCCGACTTTATGTATTTGGATCGTTTACATGTGATGCACACAAACAGAAACAACAAATCCTGTAAATCAGAGACTTGTATTTAAAGCTGCAGTTCTTGTTTTTGGCCACTGGGGGCAGCAAACTTCTACAATAAACTGGCAGATACAAAGTGCTGATATATTATCACCATTATAACATGATCTCAGGCTGGAAAACTTCTTTTTTTAACCAAATGTTTAAAGCACCAAATTTAGCGGGAGGAGGTCGGGGTGGACGGTGGGCGCACAAAGTCAGAAAGAACTTTTTAAAAACTTTTTAAGTTACAAAAGACCATTTGCAAGCTGCCTTTATGTTTTTGTTTAGTGTGCAATGGTCATCTGCTCCAAGCTGCTAACAAGGATTGGCTGCAGACTTCTGGGATTTAACCAATCAGACGAAAGTGGGCTCCTGGGAAGGGGAGGGGGGCCTTAAAGGGACAGGATCAAAAACGACTCATTTGACTAAAGGGCTGCATAAAGCACCAGTTCAGGATAAATCCAGATATTTTTTTAACTGTGGCGTCCCAGGATAAAAACACAGAGGTTGAAAAAAGCACAACAGCTTTGACAAAAATATTAAAGAACAGCAGACTCATCCTTAAGTTCGTAAACTTGCTTCAGACATTGAAACTCATACCAGACGTCCAAGCAAATATGCAGAATTATGCATTTAAAGCGAAATACATTCATATTATTCATACCTACTGTAGTTTATTCTCGCTGTAAAGTGGTGAGCTACTCCTGTTTTTGATGAATGGATAAAGCACCACATTTGGCAGGAGGAGGTCGGGGTGGATGGTGGGCGCACAAAGTCAGAAAGAAATTAAGGTCTTTAACTTTTTCTTTAGGTCAGAACAGACCATTTGCATGCTGTGTTTATATTTTTGTTCTGCGTACAATAAAAGTAATCCATGTGAGCTGAAAATTCAGGCTTCAGACTTCAGAAAACAACCCCTTAGCACCAGAATATAGCGCATAAACATATAAAAGCCAGTTGGTCACATTCAGATATTTGGTACTGAAGGTACTGGATTTGTGTTGTAACCCTCAAAACATCCAAATGTCAGTCTGAGGAGTTAATAAATCTTGAGTGAAATTGCCACGGAGTAAACCTGCCCTACCCTCAAGCATGGTGGTGGCAGCATCATGCTCTGGTGTTCCAACAAGGCAACGATCCAAACACACATCAGAAATGGTTCCATCAGGCTAGAATTAAGGCTTCAGTCTGGTCTCCCCAAAAAATTTAAACCCTTTCAAGACCCTGTGTACTGTGATGACGGAACAAGACGCTGCTCTTAATATTTTGTTTGTAGCTAAAGGTGCTGGATTTGTTCTGACGCCGTCTAACCCCCAAAATGTTGACTGTGAAGGTCTGAACAGTCAATAAATCTTGTTTTCTGTGTGAAACAAACACCAGAAGTTGCCACAGAGGAAACCTTTCCACTCTGGATCGGACCAAATAAAACAAGACGAAGGTGTGACCGCGCCCTCGGGTGAGATCATACCTTCCTTCAACCTTTCTTTTAGATGTTGTCAGCTGTTTGGCCACAATGACCAGAAATGTGTTTGGAGGGGAGACGTTGAGGTCTTTAACCCTTAGAACACCAAACCTACCCTCAAGCATGGCGGCGGCAGCATCATGCTCTGGTGTTCCAACAAGGTAATGACCCAAACCCTTTCCAGAACCTGTGGACTGACGAAGGAACGAGACATTGTTCTTCATGTTTTCTTACTAGCTAAAGGTGCTGGATTTGTTTTGACGCCGTCTAACCCCCAAAAGGTCCACTGTGGAGGGCTGACGAGTGAATAAACCAACACCGAAAGCTGCCACGGAGTAAAGCTTTCCACTCAGACCAAAGAAAACACAGAGTTGTTTTGACCGCACCCTCGGATGAGCTCATACCTTCCTTCGACCAGTTTTCGGACGTTGCTGTCAGGATGCAGGTGTGGCCTGCAGGCAGCTTTTGGGCGTCGGGTTTTGGTCCCTGAAGGGCTCCGAAAGCCTCGGACCCTGCAGCCTGGACAGCAGCGTGGTCCGCCGGATGCTGCTGTCCGAGTCCTGGTAGTGGAACTTGTGCCTCAGCCGTCGGCAGCACGGGAGGCTGCCGGCGAAGTCCGACAGCAGGTGGCCGCTGAAGATCATGTAGATCCAGGGATTGCAGCAGCTGTTGAGGCTGGCCAGCAGGGCGGACAGCGCCACCGTGGTGTTCTCAGAGTCTGCGGGCAAACAGAAAGGAAGATTTACGAGCTTCGGCGATGTCAACAGCTAATCCGAGATGTTTGCCTGAGTCACCTGCTCAGTGTTTACTCTGCAGCCTCGGTCTGACTGAACGGGATTCGGGGGATTTATCGCACGTTCTGGACTTTTACTCTGAAGGTTTGATTCTGCTGCAGAAACAAGCTGCTGACAGATCATCGTCCAGAACACCTCCGAGCTGAAGGTGGAAAAAAATACTGCATTCATGAGTCAAACCTGCCTGAAGAACAAAATCACGTCCACGTTGGTCAGATTTATTGGCTGCTGCCACTAATTACAGCAATGTGACGTCTAACGACTGTTTATTCATTTGGACACCAAACATCAGGCAAAAGGACTGAAGGAGAATCACTTCAGCGAATAGAGTTTTATTTATATATAATCAATTCAACCTCAAACAGTTTCTGGTCGTATTTTGCTCCTGTTAGATTTTACTTCCTTAAAAAGAGACAAAGTTGTTGTTTAAAACCCCAAAAACCAGCCAGTGTGTTTCTGAAAAGGAGCGTTATCTTTAAAATCACCCCCAAAAGGCCCCCATTCATCAGAGCAGGACGCTGGACAACAGAGCAACTCATTGGATTTTCAACTTTCCGACGGTTTGTGAACTCATCATGTGACGAACAGCTCTGGTGGGGAAACGATGCAAATCTAAGCCGTAAATCAGGATTTTTTTTCCAGCAAAATCGCTTCTAATTCACCAAATTGCTTGAACCAGATTCTGTAAAAACCAAAAAATTCTGCATTTTTTGGCACAACTGAGGAAACATTAAAGACTCGTCTGTGACCAACAGATTCCTGACAAAAATTCAGGAAGTATTTGGTTGAACTGCAGGCTGTGTGCAGACAGATTAGAGCGGAAACAGATTAAAAATACAAACAACTAATGATCTGCAGCAAACTGTCTTACTGTCCAGCGTTGGTGACACCCTGCACACGTCATAAAACAATGTACGCTGATTTATTCCATTTTTTAAAGTAAATAATCAAAGAAATTCAACTTTTTAATGTTTTCTGGCGTTCTAGCTGGATTATATGTCACATCTCTGAGCTCTGTTTCCTTCCTCATAGTTGTTCTGTTTCCATAAAGCTGCAGGAATTTAGAGAAAAATGAACCAACTGTGAGTAAAAATGAGACAGAAGTGAATAAAGAAAACAGCCCAGAGCCGGTCTGTTGTCGTTCTCTGGTGTGTTTTGATGGAAGGACTGAAAGGTCGACGTCTGGAAGCTCGTCTTTAAAACGATTTAAAGTAAAATATCACGACGTCTGACATCTGGTTGATCCTTGATTCATCCAGGAAACAGTTTAAAGTTTATCCACTTAAAATGCATCAAACTTCTCACGTAGACGAAGTTAAAATGCTGCAGCTGCTCCACAGAATAAATGAAACACTCAGATGTATTTGTGATGTTTCTAATAACGCCCAGACCAGGGAGGTCCAGCTGGGCGTGGAGGTGAGGATCTGATTCTATGAGCAGCTGCTCATCCACCTGGAGGATTTCATTTAGCTCCGGCTCACGAGGTTTTCTGGACCTGATGGGAATAAATTCACAGAAGAAGGATTTGATCTGAAACCTTCCTGAGAAGCAGCAGAAACCCTGAAACTGAAAAAATTTTAAAATTGTGGTTTATTTTTTCATTTTTCCTTTTCCTTTGTACAAAACATTTTTTTTTCTAGATTTTTTTTTAAAAATTATTATTCTGGTAAACATTCTGCTTCATATATGTTTTAGCCACAATACTGTTTGTTTTTTTAATTTGTAGAAATTTATTTTTTAAAAATAGCAGAAAATTCATGTCGTCATTTAATTTTTCAATATCAAGTTTTGTAGTTTAAACTACATTTCTTTTTAGTATATAGATTATTATTATTTTAAAATTTTATTTATTTATTGTTTTGGCTTTTCTCCTTTTCCTTTTGGCAAAGAATTTTTTTTTCTCCTCAGGCCTCAAAACGAAACTGAAACTAAACCAATAAAAAGGAAACAGACGTGAGTTTGTTCGACCTGCCGACTGAAACGTGGTTTGTGTGTTTTTCACCTTCAGCACCGACTTCCTCGTCGCTCTGAATCATTTCAAGCTGAAGTTCTTCTGCTGCACTAAAAAGTCACGTTAGCTGATTAAAGTCCTGAATACTGAAGTTAAACGAACTGAACCTGAGAAAACAAGTTCAACAAACTCCAGATTTTAAGTTGATTTAACACTGATGACGATTACAGACGGACTTAATTTGACATTTTCTCAATTTAAAAGATTTATTTTTAATAAAACACTTTTAATCTTTGTCATAGTTTCAACTGTTTTGATGATAATAACCAGAAACAACCAGAAACTACAAAAAAACTGGGAAGTTCTGGGAAGTCAAACTTTCAGCTCTTCATTCATCCAGCTCATGATTTTAAGTCAAAATGCCTCAAGTTAGAAGAATATAAGAAGATCTGCAAGAAAACTGTCTGTAAGATTAATTTATTATCATTATTTTATTGATTTTTAGTGTTTTGTTAAGTTACAGAGAACATCTAATAAAGTAAATATTAGTTTACATGTGGACCTTAAACTCCAAACAAACCTAAAAACAGGACAAAACTGTTCACTGGCAGTTTGTTCATTTACAAAATCGGACCATAAAATTACACAATTTGTTCTGTATTTAAATCAGTAAGTTTTATTTATTTAAAAATAAATTTTCACAGATATTTGAAAGGAAAATGTGTAAATATCCTTTAAACTATTATTATTATTTATTTTATTGTATTACTATCATTTATATATTTTAAACTAATTTTTTAGTGTTTTTGTAACTTACAGATAATTTCTAGTAAAATTATGAAAAAAAATATAAATTTAAATGTTGACTGTAAAACAACAAAGAAAAACAACCAAAACTGTGTAAATAAAAATAAAAAAGTTCACATCAAAAATCTACTAAATAGTCATTTATTATTATAGCTTGTGATTTATTATAAATTAAACTGTTTTACTGTTTTTCTGAGTTTTGCTTCTTCTTTTTTTTTTTTTAAAGGAAACTTTATCTTCATTATTATTATTATTGTTCATTACTATTTGTTTACAGTGAAGCTAACAGACGGATGAAGCAGAGATCTGAGGTTTTACGCACAGAGCTGCGCTCTAAGGAGCCAGAACCCTCCTGAATAAACCTCGTTAGTCTAAATGTTGGACCGACCGTGCCAGGAGAAGGTCTCGTCCCACACCGACCACATCTGCACGGTGAAGAACGGCGCCCAGCACACCACGTAGGCCACCACGATCACGAAGGTCATCTTGACGGTGCGTAACTTGGCTCTGGAGATGGTGCTGACGCTGCTCACAGAGTTCCGGCCCAGGATGCCCGCCTTGCTGCTCTCCGCCGCCGCCGAAGCCGAAGCCGAAGCCGAGCTCTTCCTGCGGGTCTTGTACTTGAGGTTCCTCCAGATCGTCCTGCAGATCAGCCCGTAGCAGAACACGAGCACGGCCACGGGCACGAGGAAGATCCCGGCCGTGGTCCAGGTGATGTAGGCGCGCACGCCCCACGGCTCCAGGAAGTGCGCCCAGCAGTCGTACACGGCCGAGCCGGGGTGCACCTCGCTCAGGGAGAAGATGAAGTACTGCGGCGTGCTGAGCAGCAGGCTGGCCGCCCAGGTGGAGCCGATCATCAGGTAGGCGCGCTGCGTGGGCTGCTGCAGCGTCTGCAGCGGGTGGCAGATGGCGATGTAGCGGTCCACGGTCATCATCACCATCATGTAGGTGGACGCGAACATGCCCAGAACCTGCAGGTGCTTGACGATGCGGCACAGGAAGTCCGGGCCGTAGAAGCGGAAGGTGATCTCCCAGCAGAGCTGCGGCAGCACCTGGAAGAAGGCGACCACCAGGTCGGCCAGGCTCAGGTGCTTCATGAACAGGTGCATGCGGGACGGCTTCCTGCGGGTCCGGTACATGGCCAGCAGCACGCTCAGGTTGCCCACCACCGCCGCCAGGAAGGCCAGGCTCAGGACGGTGATCTCCAGCTTCGCCACCTCCTCGTTGCGCCCGAACGGGTCAGTGTCGTTGCTGCTCCCGCTCAGGTTCCCGCTCAGGTTCCCGCTCAGGTTCCCGGCGGAGGCTCCGGGCTGCGGGACGTGGAGCCGCTCGGTGCAGATGTGGCCGCTGATGTTGCAGAAGGTCTCCGAGGAGGAGCCCATGGTGGCCGCGTCTCCTCCGCTCTGTGCGTAAAACCGGCCGAACGCTCCAACATGTACCGGACGGTCTCACGCTCAGAAATCACAAGCAGCCAAACAGAAGTCTGGAGGTTCTGCCCTCCATGGTGGCAGTGAGTCCAGATCTCAGCGCTGCAGCAGCTTTTAAAGCTCAGACACACGAACACACCAGAGCTGCGCACACACTCGGTCCGACCCTCCACCCACTGAGCACTGAGGAGGAATCTGAGTGTGTGGTCACACAGAACCTCTACAGGAACCCACAGCGTGTCCTTGATTTTACTTTGAAACAGATAATTCTGAACAGAATTAAAGTTTTTACTCTTTCAGGAAAAATGTTAAAGGCCAAAGTGGGAAAAAGGAAAACTACACAAAGAAACTCAAAATGACACAAAAATGACTTTAAATGACCTCAAACAGACTTCAAACATCCACACAGACACTAAACACGACCACAAAGACACAACAGATCCACTAAGAACGTCAAAATGACCAGAAAGAACGGTCCAGAGAACAAGGTTGAATAGACACAACACGTCCAAAAAGGGACTCAATGTACAAAAAGACACAAAAAAAGACTTAAAATACAACAAAAAGACCCCAAACTTCAAAAAAGATGCCCTAAATGTCCACAGAGAGATTTAAAATGACCTCGAAAAGACTTCAAACATCCACAGACACTAAAAATGACCACAGACACAAAACACGTTCACAAAGTGACTCAAAACATCCACAAAGAAACTCAAAATGACCTCAAATAGATTCTAAACATCTGTAGAAACACTAAAAGACTGAAAATGACCACAAATAGACAACAGACACATACAGAACAACCACAAAGAATCTAAAAATAACCAAAAAAAGAAGCAAAATGGCCAAGAAAAGACTCCAAAAGACCTCGAGAAGACTTCAAACGTCCACAAAGAGACTAAATGTTCCCAAATACACTAAACTAAACTTCTACAAAGACAATAAAAGACTCAAAAATTCCAAAAAGACTTCAGACGTGATGTTAAAATGACAATTTATTGAATATTAAATATGTGAAGAAAGACTTGCAGCCCAAAGAAAGCTGCAGAGTTTCACCGTTTGACTATTAATGAAGCGATCGTTTCCACCATCGACAGGAACGTTGGTGTCACTTCCTGCCTGAGCGCTGACTTTGATCGGACGGCGAGCGGAGCCGATGTGTTTATGTGCAGATAACCAGACGACCTCCGAGCTGCTCTCGCTTGTTCAGCATTGAGCGAGAAAACTAAACAAAAACACAAACGCTCTCCTGAAAAACACACAAAGTGAAGCTCTGAAGCTCCGACATGTGGATAAATTAAAAACCATTTAAAAAGTCATTTAAAGCTCAGGACGGATTCAAGTCGTCGTTTTAAAGCTGATCTGAGTCGTTTCCTTCTATTGACTCAGTTTATCAGGTTTGTTATGTCAAAGTGGTTTGTTGGATGTTACACTGCAAAACATTTTACGTTCATTCAGCTTAGAAATGTAAGTTACAGGAACCAAAACGTTTGAGATTGAGAATAAAAAATGTAGATTTTATGTTAAGTTAACAAGAAATAAGCAAAACCCAAACATTTACATGAGCTGAACTTGAAAAGACGAGTTGATTTAACTAAATTATTTTCAGCTTTGAATCTAAGTTCCCAATAGAACTGCTCTTTTGTTATTTAATTAGTTCAAAATCATCTTATGAGCTGTGAAAGTGTAAAACTAGTTAAATGACCTCAACTTCAGAAAACTAGTTCAGAAAACTCAAGATATTAAGTTGAATCAACTAGACGATGGTTACAGATAGATTTGTTTTCCTTTCACATTTTCTTCTTCATCTAACTCTAGCAGATGTTTAAACTCTTTAACGCTCATCCTGGAGGTTTGTTCATGTTCTAGTTTCGTGTCTCATAAACTTATTGTAATGAGTCGATTTAACTTTCATCTCTTCATTCATTCAACTCTTCATTTTAATTCAAAATACCTCAAGTTTTAAAGCAGTTTACTGATAAAAGTTTGACATTTTAAGCTTAATTAGCTCCAAATGAGCAGAACTCGTACATTTAAACAAAACGAGACGAGTTGAGTCGACTGATGAAATACCAACACGTTGCTTCCTTTAACATTCAAACCACCAACAAACACTGAAGGTGTCTCCGAGTACAAGACAAAAACCATGAAACCTGCTTGTACTCTGTGCAGCGATGAGTCCTGAAGTAAACTAGGTCATCCAGCCGGAGAGAGAACGAGAATGTGAAGGATGATTGATCAGATGATCAGCGTTTCACTGATAACACTCATAAACCAGGAGGAGGCCTCCTCGGACGAACCCGTAAAGAAAACAAGCCATGGCATCTTGAGTATGTGAGCAGTCGATCAGACCAACGGCGTCTCCACAGAAGATCTAGAGAAACACATTTTGATCCCAACAGCTCGATTCAGCGTCATGAATACAT